GTTAGGTTATCTGATTGACTGTTTAACTGAATGTTTTTATCCATATTAGTGTCATTCTAGATCTTCGCGATAGTTAAAAGTACAAATAAATCATTGAAAATAATCCTAATAAAATTACTAGTTCCACGCGGACACAGCTAGTGATTATAAAATCAGAATATTATTGCAGTACGTATGCGTTTATTAGCATTCCTTATATGTAATTTTTTTTAAATTATTCACGTTGATCTTAAAATTCTAAGAAAAATTAAACTTATTACAAAAATTATATAGTTTTTTTTATTGGAATTTTAGTTTTGTCAAGCTTTGGCACCTAGGGCATAGGCTAATAATAAATAACGTTATGTTATAGGTAGATACAATGAGCTTTAAAATATAAGTACCGCCGACTCTTGTTAATTCGAAACTCGAGGGAAATATCAAATGGTTCGAAATTTTTGAGAGAAAATAAATAAAACTTCGAATTGTCAAGTGTTGATCAATTATTATTTATTAATCTTATGTTTAATAAAGACAAAAGCTTAGACTTCCATTTTCCAGTTTCACTTTCCCCACAAACTTTTTTAAACACAACTTCATTTCTGTTTTTGAAATTTGTAAGCCACACTTCTGGGGGCAAAGTTTTTAATGCTTAGAGTAAACGGGAACTCCTTTCCTTTCCTTTAACAAGTTTCCGCTAATAGATACTTTTTGTCCTCTACAATATCTTAGCCAAATGACCAGGCTTTCTTCCAGACGAGGAAATTCACCTTTAATAGTTATTTTCCGTACTCCAGCAGTTTGAGCAGCATAAATTTTCTCCTTATGCTTTATTATGATTAAGAGAGTACTCAGAGGAATCTTAAATTCTTTGGCAACATCACTTTTCCTTTCACCTCCCTCTATTTTTTGGATTAACTTCTTCTTATCGGCAGTCATCAAGCATTTATACTTTTTTGGCCTCATAACTAACACAAAGTTTTAATCTGTATACAACCAAAACAACGAAAGAGTAACAGTAACTGAAACATAAATAACTAAACAAACCAATTCGTACGGAAGTGTGTGTCAAACTAATCATAACAAAAACAGAGGCTCACATAGCGAGAAAAAAGTTAGAAACTTGTTTAAAAATGTATTTACAATCTTTCTGTCCTTTCTCTCTGCAATTTTTTCGTTCGAATTACCAAATGCATACAAAAGTGTTGATTTGTTTCGAAATATAAAGAGATTTTGTAGGGAACTCGTGATAACTTTGAATTATAGAGACGTTCGAATTATCGCAGGTTTGAATTAACGAGAGTCGACTGTACTTATATAACCGCTGTTAGAATTGTGCTTGAGCTTATTCCTGAATGCTATCCATGATAATGTGAACTCTTTTATGTATACATTCACAGCAGGCTTTTTTTGTGTAATTTGCCTAAAGATTTCCCCACTGCCACAAAAAAGAATAATGTTAACGAATCTTGTAATCTTTAATACTTTGTACTGAGTTTGGCAGGTTTCCCTTGTTCATCATTTCTTTTGATGAAATATCAAAAGATAAAATCTGACTCTAATTCCAAAGTAGATGCAAATACATTTGGATCTAACATACTAGATGCCGGTGAGTGAGGCACATTTAAAATTTCGATATTCTTTATTTAATCAGCAGAATGAATTTACTATTTCCTCACTGTTTATGTCTCTCTCTGTGCTATGATCTATGGCTTGTAACCGAAATTAATGTATTGTAACTTTAAGTACTGCTTTGTCACATGCTTACCGGTAAAGGGAAACGGAGTTAGGAAACCTGCTTATTTAAAAAATAAAATATTTCAAGGCGCAACTAATTAGTTCATAGCAATTGCTCCATAATTCTCTCAGAAATGGAAGGAAGCCTGGTGCTTAGCAGCGTGACGAAAAAAATTTTATATACTTTGCTATGTCCAAGCACTGCCAAATTCCAGCAACCACGGCACGTCGTGCACGGCAGCTTTTGACAGTTTTTTTGTCGCGGCGCTACTGAACCGCAGGTTCCAGGCCCGCACGGAACATATTATGTTTCTATGACCTACAAATACTTATTCTGGATAAGTAGTGATCTTGTGCAAATTATGTATGTAAAACACGTCCGCAATATAGGAGAAAATCCTACAGTACTAGTAGTAACCCTTTTTTTAATAAATAATATTTTAAATAAATGTGATATGTAAGAGAATCCTCATTTTGCAAAAGAAATTTACATTTCACTTTTTTGAGAATAAACACAACAGATGATGAAACAACAAATGATGAACCAGGACTTACGTAATTGGATAATTAGTACATTATTAACCACAAAATTGTTGACTATTTCGTATTGCAAAATATTTTATTATAACCGTAATTAAAAATAGTTTGTTGGCACTTCATTACACTTTGTATAAGTAATTGTTTCAACATTACAGATGAATTTTTTAATAATATTTTATAATTAAATGTAGCAAGAGGCGTTCAGCCAGCCAACAGAAAGCAGCGTCGAAAGAGCCAAACATCTGGTATTAATCAAAATATCTCTACAACTGGAGACATATGTCCAGCAGTAGACTATAACGGGCTAATGAAGAAGTTACAAACTATTTAATTTAAAGAAAATATTAAAGATTTATCATATTGGATTTCAATAATATGCATATTACTTCTTATGAAATACATCTTAATTTACAAAACTATCATTACATGAGTTCTACAATAACGTTAAATAACTGTGCCGTAGTATTTAACTAATGTCCTCCAGACCGAATGGGCAGTTAGGACGGCCAGTCATAACAGAGACTAAAGTACGGCCAACTAGCAGCGATGCGAAAGGTCAATCTACCGAATGTGTAGTTGACAATATATTATCTATCTATTTCCATCTAGTGTATTTGTCGTAATGGTCCCATTTTCCTGGCAAAAACATGTCAGGGTTTGGACGGGTTCGCCAACATTCGGGAGGCCATTTTAGTAATAATGATGATTCATTTTTCATTCCGTTTCGGAACGCGCTCGTGGTAATACAAGTAATTTGTTAAAATTTTTGTTATTTTTGTTGTTTATTTAATTATTGTTATTTCGTTTTGTTTATAATTGTTTTCTATTAAGAGTGGTTAATGATGGAGCCACAACCAAGTACGTCGAGAGATAATTCAACAGATATTACTTTATCTTCAATATACAAATAATTCAAATTATAAGAAAATAAAGCCTACTTTTTGGTTTGCTAGACATTTTTAAACTATATTATATACTATCTAACTATCAAAAAGTTACGCACCCCTGCTATTCCTAATAACCTTGCATTGGTTTTATTTACATTTGGTATCGCTTCTCGTTCGCCGTACTTTAGTCATCTATTCAATAAAGAATTAGTACCCTAGTGTAAGGGCAAGCACAGGTGCACTCTCTATACTCTCATTCTCATAGTCCAATGAAACGGCAATCCGACATGACCTGAGAGAAATCAGGCACAGGGCCACCGACTACGTGCTTTCCAAGAAACGGGCGTCACACAGTCGACTTCCTGACTCTGGGCTCAATAACTGTTTCTTTTTTGGCCGAAGCAGGATTCAAAGCCATGGTCAGCAGTCGTGTTTACGACCACTAGATCAACAAGGCAGTCAATTCAGTATCTACTTACTATCATAGTGTACTCGTGCATCTTTTTACTTCTACATCTTTTATCTTTTTTACATATGTAAATATCATAGAACGAAAAATCCACATTTTTCCTTTCTTATTTATATAAAAGTCATTTCATCATCATCATTACAAACTATTGTAGTGCACTGCTGAACATAAGCCTCACCAGATTGCGTCATTGAGGGGATATTTGCCATTGTTGCCACGCTTGACAGGCGAATTAGCAGTCGCTGTTCTCTATTATGTTGAGTTGTTATTAGGAAGATACTGTTGCCCATCGTGTTGTTTCGGTTCCCTTCGTCGCTTGTTTAACCAAATTGATGATATTGGCTTTATGTTCATTTGTTATTTAAAACTTGTCTAAGATCCCGATATAAAACGACCTTGACCGAGATGCTTATTTAATTAAACGTATTCTATATTTAATTTAATATGTCAATAAATATAATCCATATGGGTCGCCTAGCAAATTTCAGTCCAGAGTATGTTTAATTAATAATTTAAAAAAAATAATTTTTTAAACATTTCACCGGTATGATTATTAGATAAATTCTATACCAATCGAAAGTATGAAGCCCATAGAATATGCAAACCTTAGGTTGCCTATTCTTTTCCGGTCACAACTATCGGGTTGCCAGGTATAAACAGGTAAATCTGTACTAGCATTTTGCAACGGTCTGTTTATTGAATGAAATTTAAATGAAATTAAAGATTATTTTAATCTGAACACGGTGGTATAAGGTTTCCAGCGAAAAATCAGTCCAGAATTGCGGTTGTCGAATTTTAAAAAGTAAAATATTGCTTCGAGTGAATGTGTGCGACTGAGAGGTCCCAACTGACCATCCCATGCGATAGAAGAGGACACAGCATAGCAGCTGTTTAAAGTCCGCCCAATTAAAGAAAGAGAGTGCGCATGCTATTTGGGCTTAGAAAAGAAAAGGATAGCGATAGACTCGTATATACTATACATCATTTTGGAGTATTTTATTATTTAAATAGAGAAATAGTTATTTAATTTTTTTAATCAATTAATTATTTATGTGTATATTTTTTATGTGACACTAAAGTATATATACATCTTTAGTAAAAAAGAAGGTTATAGTGATACATATATAATACTACCCTGATTAAAAATATTGATTGAAAAAAATTAAAAAAATTTACTACATGCAAATTATAAATCTATAAATGTAAACAGAGAAATTGAAATCAATTGAAACTATTGGAAAAAATTCAAAACCCATAAAAGTGAATTTTTTTAATCAGGGTAATCTTGCAAAATATTTATTTTTATTATAAGAAGACAAAATAAAAAACAACAATTAAAAAATTACTTCTATTTATTGTAACAAATTAAAAATACATTTTTTTTTAAATTATTCAGAATCCGAGTCATCGGACATAAAACTACGATCTTCAACTTCTGAATCTTCTTCGTCATCACTCTCTGTTTCACTTTTTTCGACAATGTCTTCTATCTTTAAAGGTGTATGATCCCCAATGAATCCTACTGGTTTTAAATATTCATCTAAGAACCATCCGCAGTTCTCAGGCTCAAGTTTCATGCATATTGGATCCGTTGCATTAAGCCACATGGAATTTACGAAAATAGTTCGTAAAATTTTCTGAGTTAATGATATCCAGCATGGTGGTATGGAGTTGGAGTCGAAGCCTTTTATTTTTTTTAAAAAGTGCTCGCTGTCTTCTTTTGCAGAGTAATTTTTCATAAAAATACGATGTCTCGCATCATTCACACTGGTGCAGTTCCTGATACCGTACATACTAGCCGTAAATTCTTGAACGGTCTTCATTTTTTCATCAATGAAAATATCAGCAGCATCTGTTAATGACGCAAAAACTGTTTGATATTTTTCATTTTTCGAAAATTGCTGAAAAGGTTTTACTTTCCCTTTGTTGTAAAAGGCTGCCGTGTAATCGCAACCTGTAAATGCATGGAAGGCGGGAAGACTTTGGCATAATTTAATTCCCAACTTCAACGCTAAATCGGTGCAATTAATGCAATCAACAGTTTGATTATTAGTCTTTCTAGTTGCTGAACAGGCAAGCCAAATTTCTGATTCGATAAGCTTGTGCATATTTCCTAACAAAATTATCAAAACGTCAGTATCAGAGGCTTTAATTAAAATCCTTGAGCCTGGTTCCGCTTTAGAAGCATGAAAAATAATCCTTGTATCTGCCTCTTCGTGATGACATTCATAATTAGTTTCTTCAGTTTTTTTTACGGAATTTTCCTGAACTTGATAAGAGTAGCAGTGATGGTCGACGGTTAAAAAAGATTTTTTTGTTTTGGATTATTGTTACCAAATGGTCATTTTCCCAATAATCAGCCAGAAACAGCACCAGAGTCTCATTAAAGCGATAAGTGTCTAGTTTGTTGAGGTCCCGAAATTTTGTACGAAATATCGAATTCTTTTCTGCTCTCACGTTCGCAATCTTTGATTGACGGTGATAAGTAGCGATCAAAAATCAAATGTATTTCTGTAGCGTTTGTTGAACATATTTTTATGAGTATATTGAGTACAAAATTCGAGATTAATTTTTTTGTTTAGGCTTATTGCCAAAAGTCGCCCAAATACGTCTCGTTCCATTTTCAATAATACTTTCTTGTTCTTGTCTTTGGTACTCAAGACTTTAGTCATACATTGAGAAGCAAAATTGCAGATTTTGTTTCGTTTTATTGGTTTATCGAATCTTGCAGGAGTTGAAGAGCATTCTGAGATAAAATTTAATTTTTGTTGATAGCCTGCTGTTTTCACGTTCAGCAGGAAATCAGCAACTTCTTTAGACGCAGCTTTGCCGGTTGAAATGTTGAATAATGTATCTTTGTCAATAGTGTCATCAAATGGATTCATCGTACATTTTATTGCTTCAATGATACTGTTAAGATTTTTTTTGTCTTTCTTAATTTTACTTTGTTGCAATGAGTGCGAAGTATCATATTTTTTCGTTAAACCAAAATATCGGTTTAACGAAAAAATATGATACTTTGTTACTTTGGTACTTTGTTTGATAGATGTTAATATCTTCGTCCTCATGCTGTGAATGAGCGCCCATCTTTGACTTGCAGATATTGAGTCAGCAGCAAGATTATCAGCCAATTAATTGCTAGCATCAGCATTGATAGTTTGCTCTAGCGTCAAGTCAACCGGTTATCGAGCAAAATTTGCTGCAGTTCGTCTAATTCCAAAGGCGCCTCGACGAAATTCAGCTACCAAAGATGAATTATTAGTATACAAATTGATTAAATTGCTCAAATATAACAAGGACCATCTGGCATAATTGGGCTGGTTTAACGCAAAAAATATATCAGACATGTTAAAAATCGAGTCCACGTACAGTTCAAAGTTACTGGTGCGGATACTTCTGGAAAACCGATGGTATAAATTAATAAACTCACAGTACTGGTAATAAAATTGAGCAGTTTTCCCTTTTTCTCCTATCAAAGTCTGATTGCAGAATTCTTTATAACCGTTAACAATACGACTCAATAAATCTGGTAACTCGATTGTTTCTTTGACGTCATTCGTAGTCTGATTTGATGCATTCTGTATTTGCGTTTGCAGCAGTTCATCCATCGCCTCAAGTGTTACATTAGTTGTGGATAAATACTGTTCAAAATGTAATATTTGTAATGTTTGCTATCCAAGAAGCTATTCATGGAGCCGCCGGCTAATATTTCTGCTTGCACCAATATTTCCACTAATCCACTGCTGGCATTATTTTCCGATGGCTCTAAAAAATTCCATCTCTGTGTGGAAAGCGGCCAAGTTAACAAAAATTTTATTGTATAGCGGTTTTTCTTGTTCTTGAATTTGCATTGCCATTTTTGCTATCGCTAAATCATATGTCATAATAATTTCTGGCTGCTGACATTTTTCAGCGATTTTTTTAGTCATGTTTAATGTTTCATTGACTACCGCATACGACGTTGGTGATGAATTTATGGAGTCAAAAGATATACAGTTATAACCCAACCACATAGGAACGGAATCAATTCTTGACAACGACATCATCCATAATAAATCTTTATCTGATGCTATTTCCGTAGCACCTTTGCATAACTCCGTTGTATTGGTAAACGAATCTACAGTAATCAGCTGCATACTTGCCTTAGGTTTAGAATAATATGGCCAAATTTCTCGTGATATTTCATTGAAACGCCTTCTCTTGCGGGTAGGTCCTTCTCCATTTTCGTTGTCATTTACTTGAGACGCTGATGAAGTTGTAGCTTCACCATCATCAAAATTATCAGTTCCATCACTAGAGAATTGATAAATAATTCCAACTGTTTCGTGCATTGTGTCCTTTCCAGAAGTTGTGTCAACGAAGCGGTCGAAATTGTCGAACGCTACGTGGGTGCTGTGTCCATTTGCTGCAGTGATGCCTTTTGGTATAACTTTGTTATCTTGGATCGATGTATATGTCATTTCGGTTTCCAATTCTTCTGCCAAATTATATCTAATTCTATGGCCATACCTATTAAGTATTTTAATTACTTGCCGAGAGTTGGTTAAAGACTTTACTGCCAATCCACGGGACAAACTTTTTGAGGACTTACATGCACCCCTAGTGACAGCATAAATAATATCACTACATATTGACGTTATTTTAACTTTTAGTCCGTTCGAATCTTCATCAGAAAAATTAGGCCCTTCGATAAGATTTCGTATAAAATCAATTAATTGCTTAGGAATGTCACATTCTCCACGAATGACATCATCAGCAGTTATATTGCGAGAAAGCGGATGAGCATCTGTATTTTTAATGCAGCTTCTCAAATAATATGCTACATTTTCAAACTCATATTCATTTCTTGTCTCCAAAAGTTTGAATTTGTTTGCCCATTGACGCTTCAATCGTAATACGATCATCGAATTTCTTCATAAATTTTTTTTGCAAGGTTTCACATCGGTAATCTTGAATCAATTTCATGATTTCCAAACTCTAACAATAAAGCTTGGTATCTTAAAAATAATTGAGCCAAGTACATAACCTTGTTGTTTTCAATTATTTCTGTTTCAATGAAATTCGATATGGATTGAAAGGCCAACTGATGTAACTGTCTATATTTACTATAGTTGGAATGGGTAGATCCTTCCGTGGACCGCTTATTTTTCGATTGATACACTGCGTAACAAGGCAGATGGTAGGCGATAGTTTGATGTTGAAGTTTGGAGAGAATCACCGAATCGCCAAAATTTTGCGCTATATTTTTTATCTGTAGTCGTACTTTGTCATCATTAGGGACAGTAAGATTGACCAGCTTCTTCCCACATCTCTTTTGGCTGTGGTCACAAAAAAAGGCAAATAATTTTGCTTGATGTCGATGCTGTTGATGTTGACTGCTCCTAAAAGAATTAAATCATTCTTTGAGTAAAAATCGATGAAAATAAATATAATTGAAAATACAAGTTCAATTAATAGATTTTCATATATTTTTTTAAAAAAAGCTTAAAAAAATATTTTATTACCTTGTCAAAGTCCCCAGAAGTTTGGGACAGGTCTTCAACATTACTCGTTTCATCTTCAGCAAATGTAGCACAGGAATCGAAACTAGGGTTCAACTGTTTTGATTCTTCTTCAGTAGTAGATACAATTGGTATGCTCCTAAAAAAAATTTGCGATTAAATGAAAATGTTTGATATATAAATTTTATAAACTTCTTGACAAGAATAGTTGATTGAAAATATCCTCATTAATTGTTACAAAAAAAAGGAAATTAGATCATTTTATTGTTTAATTTATAAATTACCGTTTTTAAGTAAATTACAAAAAAAATTATGTGTGTCGAAATATACAAAACCATAGGTGAATTTTACTAACAATTATTTAAACATGAAAAAAATATAGAAGATGTATTAGCTAAGATAATTTTAAAGATTCAATTATTATGTACTTACTGTATATTCAGCACTAAAATTAAGAAACTCTTCGTTATATTTTTTATTCAAAACGGTCACTTTTTTGTAGCACGTGGTATGATAACCTATAAATTGAAGAGACACACTGGGTAGCTCAACAAAATGGTATTTAAAGTGTTTTGTTTTACGAAAAGCTAACTTTAATACACAGTTTTTAAAAGTTTCATCATTAAAATCAATTATTTCATCATCCGATCCACACAAAAAACACTTTTTTGCCATTTTTTCCAACAATAAATAGTAGCACGTTTTTTCAATTGTATTTATAGCGACACTCTACTCCAAAATGATGCATAGTATATACGAGTCTATCGCTATCCTTTTCTTTTCCAAGCCCAAATAGCATGCGCACTCTCTTTCTTTAAGTGGGCGGACTTTAAACAGCTGCTATGCTGTGTCCTCTTCTATCGCATGGGATGGTCAGTTGGGACCTCTCAGTCGCACACATTCACTCGGAGCAATATTTTACTTTTTAAATTTCGACAACCGCAATTCTGGACTGATTTTTCACAGGCAACCCTATACCACCGTGTTCAGAATAAAATAATCTTTAATTTCATTTAAATTTCATTCAATAAACAGACCGTTGCAAAATGCTAGTACAGATTTACCTGTTTATACCTGGCAACCCGATAGTTGTGACAAGAAAAGAATCGGCAACCTAACGTTTGCATATTCTATGGGCTTCATACTTTCGATTGATATAGAATTTATCTAATAATCATACCGGTGAAATGTTTAAAAAATATTTTTTTTAATTATTAATTAAACATACTCTGGACTGAAAGAGGAATGCCCACTCTTCATAGACATTTCGGCCATGGGTGCCCACATATAAAAGCATATAGATATGATAATATACAATTAAAGGAGTGAAATGGTTAAGAAATTGGTTTAAAAAAAGTCGGGAATTTTAAGATATAAAAGTTTTTATTTTCACAAATACAGTTTTTTAACAACTAATTTTACAGATGTTATCGCATTTAATTTCTTTGATTTTTAATTCCCGACTTTCGGGTGCTTTCCAGCACACATGGTCATGGGGGGATTGAGGTGACTGGTGTACCGAAATCAGTGTTAACTTGGAGTAACTTCAGCTTTTTAATAACTATTTATGGTCCGATCTACGCAGAATGAACTTACTGTCCTGAAGTCTTGCGTGGTATGCTTGGGTTTAGTTTTAATTTTATTAATTACAGTGTCCCAAGCAGGTGGGAATACCCAGCTTCATTCTCTATTGAAATTAGAATGTTTGAATCTGGGTGCAATACATTACCGACTTCAGATTGCAACGAGGATGAACTAGATGATTCAGATGGTTCCCGTTCTGCAGTTGAATGTGATGCTGCTCTATCAAACCTTCGCCAACAATTATGACACACACGAGATGACTTTGGCAACTGAAATAATATTAAATAAAAAGGTGAAAAAGTGAACTAAATAAAAATAAAATAGATTTGTTTCCTTTAAACTCAAATACATATAAAATATTTATCAAGTTAATTGTTACTGCACAAAAGCAGACTTAATGGCCTATATTATTTAATAATTAAGCACTTAAAAACTACCAGTAGTCCAAAAACAATGAAAAATGTATCACTATCAGATATGAGCACACACACTTAATAAATTAAAAAACACATACCTCACGTGGTGCATTTTGATGGGCAATTTCATTCCTTATGAGTTCCTCACGTGGAATCAGACCCAAACAATGTGTGTGATCTTATTCTCAAAAGTGACTTGCCACAGCTGATACATACATGTCCATGACTATTAATTGGTGAATTTTCCTGTTCGCTAGTTGGATGTCGTATTTGGTTCCAGGCTGCAGTCTTAACATGCGTGGCATACTACACTATCACTCGAAACTTGTACCTAATAAAGAAGCCATAATTATTATATCAATTGATATAATTATAAGACAACTCCGTTAATAAGCATTGCTGCAATTGTAGAATGACGAAAAGGAAGAGATGACACATGATTGTAACTATTTACCTGCTGTGGTCGAACCTATTCTTGTATAAGATTTCGCAGTTCTGGAATTTCCAACAAATGCCTTCGTGTTTTCGCTATATGATGGGAAAAAATGTCAGAGTCCATTTATAAGGCTAGTTCATTACTTCGATAACAAATTCACAAAAATAAAAACAAACAAAGTAACACGCAAATGAATTCTACATGTGACTATTTATATAGGTATAGATATAGTTGTGAAATGTGAACTAAATTGTGATTTCATTCCATGACAGGGCCTAGCTGTCAGACTCGATGTTGCCACTTAACTGACATAAAATCGATGAAAAGATATCGATTTTTATTCGATTAATAATATCGTTAAAAAACAATCTTTGAGGTGCTTTAAGTTCTGCACACTTTTTAAAATATATTTTCCTTTATTTATTTAAATGCTATTTGAAATGTATTTTTAAGAACAGTTAATTTGTGCAGTAGCGTTTTGTTAAGCTTTAACCTTTTGAGCGCCACGCCAAAAACGCATTACCGTGTCCTGTACGCCAAAGCGCCAAAACAAAATAGTGTTGCCAAGAGTTGATATATCGATAACGTAAAATAACTTGTTTTTGTTGGTTTTTTATGCTATAAATGACCCTTTATAAACTGTATGTTTTATTTAATCTTGTGCTGTCATCCACTCTTTTTATATATGTACTTTGTACATATAAACATAAATAAAAAACAAACAATAACAATAAAATAGTAGTAAACCACAGCACTACTCTCCATCCTAATGACGACACTGTCACGACTGGACGACAACGGCGTAGCTGACCTTCCTTTTTTAAACATTCTTAGAATGTTGTGTATCGATTTCAAAATCGATCTAACCGAAATATACAGACATCGATTCATAATATTTTATGTGTCGGGGAAGGCGTAGACCAAGTGAAGCACAGAAGAAAAGTCTTACACTCTTATAACAATGGGGATTTGATATGATGCTGATGCTGCTAGATGATTTTGAGACTGAGAAAGAAATGGCACAACACAAAATGAAAAATTGCTCTTCACACCTTAAGTAAAAAAAACTTTAATTGTAATTTTGTATTATTATTAAAAAAAGGTACATAATTATTCATTTATCAACAATTGTATATAATTATTCGCACTAGGTAAATCAGCCTTATAATATGAAAATCTTGGTCATGGAATAAATAAACATAATTGTTCACCAATCAATCAAAAATTCAATTCATCAATCAAAAATCAAAATTCATCATCACCGACGCTTTCCGAAATCCGAATGAGTTCTGAGGAATCGTTCATGTTGCATTGCTCTACTTTTCTCGGTAATCACTTATGACATCATCAGGGTGTCGTTTATCCTTGATCACGGTGCCCAGTGAACTGATTTTCGATAACGCGCTAAAGTTGAGAGTTGAGATATTAGATTTATTATACGAAGATGATCTGATAACATTTTTTTTATTATGTAGCTAATTATAGTTTTATGTTTCTAACCTTTAATTTTATTCAAATATCAA